CAGTCCTTGGAGAGGGACATCATGCTTGAGAGGGTGGAGAGACAGAGCAGGAGAGACAGACTCTCGATGAGATGGAATGACTTAGTGACTGAAGTAATGTGTGTCAGAGACAATAAGATTGGCACAGGATAGAGCAGGGTTTAGGACTGTTGTACGAGGGTCGCTATGAGTCATCAGCAACTCGACAGCATATAACAACAACAGGAGGTTCTCACATTTATGGCCAAAGAAACAACTCCATGCTCCCTAAAGGATCGAGAGAACATATAGCAGATGCCCCTCCTCTTTTCCTGTTTGTTTGTCATTTTGGCGGATCACTGCAAGACAGAAGTTCCCCTCAACTTTTGATCTCTTGACACCTGGTACCAAAGATGTTGATTGTGGATCCAGCAAGATGAAATCCTTGACAATTTCAGTCTTTTCTCCATCTATCATTATGTTGCCTATTGATCCAATGAGGGAGATTTTTGTTTTCTTGGTGTTGAGACATAAGCAATACTGAAGGTTTTGATCTTCAGTAAGTGCTTCAAGTCATCCTCAACTGGCATAAAGAACAAATGCCTTGTGCAGTCAAAATAAGCATCCACCTAGATGCCCTACAAGGAAGAGTCTATTTGCAGACTTGCAGCTTTTCCTCTCCAACTTCATGGGCCAACAAAACCCAAATCACAGTCGGAAGTTTACAAGGTAAACACTACCTCAAGGAACAAAACATCAGACTGGCTTAATGAAAGCTCACTAGATTACAAACAACAAGGAAGAGAGACTTGTTGGTCTCTTGTTGGGACAACACATACAACCTGGGGGATATAAAAGCCCTGAGAGTCCAGAGCTCCTCACACACTCACTCACTCACTCACTCACTCACTCACTCACTCACTCACTCACCCTCCTCCCAGCTCACTTCTTCCGCCCCACCATGGTTGACACCTGCTACCCTGGATCCTGTGTTCCAGCTGCCTCCACCATGTCTGTCTGCTCCAGCAACAGGAGCTCTGGCAGCCGCAGCTCCTCCTGGGAGGTGGAAAACTGTCCTGAGAGCCACTGTGAGCCTCCTTGCTGTGCCCCCACCTGCTGCCAGTCCTCCTGCTGCGAGCCCACCTGCTGCCAGTCCTCCTGCTGCCAGCCCACCTGCTGCCAGTCCACCTGTTGTGTCCCCACCTGCTGCAAGCCTACTTGCTGTGTCACCACCTCCTGCATGCCAGCCTCCTGCCTGACTCTCCTCTGCAGCCCTGTGAGCTGTGGGTCCAGCCCCTGCCAGTCAGGCTGCACCAGCTCCTGTGAGCCCTCCTGCTGCCAGCAGTCCAGCTGCCAGTCCTCATGCTGCACTTCCTCCCCCTGCCAGCAGGGCTGCTGTGTGCCTGTCTGCTGCAAACCCATCTGCTGTAGGCCCATCTGCTGTGAACCTGTCTGCTGCAAGCCCATCTGCTGTGAACCTGTCTGCTATAAGCCTGTCTGCTGTGAATCTGTCTGCTGCAAGCCCATCTGCTGTGAATCTGTGTGCTGCAAGCCCATCTGCTGTGAATCTGTCTGTTGCAAGCCCATCTGCTGCAAGCCCATCTGTTGCACCCCTATCTGCTGTGGGTCTAGCCCCTGCTCAGCCTCTTCATGCTGTCAGCCCTCTGTCTGCTCCTCCTCTTGCTGCAAGCCCTCCTCCAGTGTGTCCCTCATCTGCCGCCCTGTGTGCAAGCCAGCCTGCTGTGGTACTTCATCCAGCCTGAACTCTTGCTACTGACTGGCTCAGTGTTGTCACTTGCAAGCTGCTATCTTTGAGCTGAGCAAGGTCCTGGAGAGTTCTAGATCCCTCTTTACTACCAGAAACTCCGACCCTGTACCACCACCAATCTCCCCGGTGAACACTAATGTCCCTCACAATTGGTGACTCTTTCTAAGTATGACCCCAGAGACACCCCATGCAAGGTTGCTTGTTTGCATCTGATGTGGCAAAAAGTCAATCCTTATACTCAATAAAATGTTTGTGACTATAAATATGGACCCACTCATGCTTTTTCCCCTTCCCCTGGCTCCTCCAAATCGAAACTGTGGCCCACTGTCTCAGGGAAGCCAGATGGCAAAGTTGTTGTCTAAATTCAGAGTTGAAAGCACTTGTGGACTAGGGTTGTGTCAGAGGTGCTTCCAAGTGGCCTCTGCTTCTCTTCTCCACACCCAGCAGCCCCACCCTCCTGGACAGCAGGGGGGTGGGGACCGAACAAAGAGCAAGTTGACGCTGGTCTTGGGTGTCTTCATATTTATGCTGGTCTCCCCAACCCCTAGGTGGAACATTTTTGCCTGGGGACCCAAGTGTGGCAAGGATTGATCTCCTCACATTTAATCTGGAACAGCAGGCCTTGGCAGAGGCACCCAGATAAAGGAAAGGGCCCAGCATACTATGTCCAGACATGGAGTTTCAGGACCATCTCTGCATTCTCAGAAGCACCAGCAAGTTCATGTGGGTTCCAAGAGGGTCTTAGGATCAGCTTGAACATCAGGCCGAAATAGACAGAACAAAGACACCAGGCAACAGTAAGGGAAAATGAGGCTATAGTCTCAGAGGACCACTAACCCTGGAAAGTCAAGTGAGCACCAAGTCAGACTGGCCAGCACCCCAAGGGCAGATTAGAGAAGGCCTATCAGAACAGAAGCACATCAGAGGCTGAGCAGTCAAGAGCAAGAGCACAGGGAACCTCCCTGGGAGGCCAGGGGTGTGCTCATAAACCCCAACCTCACTAGTTTAGCTCTACCCCAGAGGATTAGAGTAAAAATTCTAAAAAGTGCTTCATGCAGGAAGTGACTGAATCATAAACTGCACTGTCTGATAAATTCCTCTGCTTGTCTGAGTTTACTCAAACATATAAGTATTATTTGTTCATTCAAGTTTTAAGAAACATATGTCCATCTCTGATGGCTTAGTGCTAAGGAGTTGTACTGCCAGTCCAAGGGCATATGGTTTGAATCCATAAGCTGCTCCACCGAGAAAGATGAGCAATCTGCTTTCCTCATCTCTGCCCCCTGTGCAATTTACTGCCATTGAAAACTTGCTCAGAGTTAGCTATGAATTGCTTCCAATTTGATGGTACTAGTATAGAGAAACAGTCTTAATTCATAATGGTCTCCTCTTAGCATTATAGTTAAAAGGACACACAAGACAGTTCAATCTCAACTCAAAGATTTATAAGGAACTAGAACATTGACACCACATAACCCAGTTGTCATTGAGTCAATTCCAACTCACAGTGGTGACTCTGTCTGGTTGGCTGTAATCTTTACAGAAGCAGATCACAAGACCTCCCTTCCTCGGAGCTGCTAGGTGAATGTGAACTGACTTGTGAAAGGCAGTGGCTCCTTAACAAAACACAGACGTAAGCACTTTAAAACTCAGAGTGGATGGCTGTGACAGAGCTAAGGCTGTTGCCATCAACATGATGTACTTTCTGCCAAGAGTCCACAGGAAGAGAGCATCTAAAATCTTCTGGCATTTCTCAATCTAATTGTCAATCAGAACATGTGAACATGGCTTGGGCAGGAAAAGATGGGTCCTTGGGTATGACGTAGTACCCAGGTAAAGGCAGCTCAGAGCACCCATGGCATGCTGATAAACAGTGTTTGTACCCACAAAATATGAAGAGTAGAGTCAAACCCATCTTGCAGCATGAAAAAAGTGCTATGTAAGCAAGTTACTAGTAGTTGGACTTTTTGTGTCCAGAAACCCAGAAATCTGATGTCGCACACCAGAGAGAGTTAGAACACAGCCATGCAGGATGCATGAAGAGGTGTCACAAAATAATCCTGTGCTTAGAGCTGACTCCCAACTGTACCCTCTGAAGAGGTTGGGGAGACCAAGCAAAGGGAGGTTGGAGGTAAAAAAATAATGTATCTTTGAGGAGTCGGACTATGTCCCATGGAGCCATGTCAGCTGCTCACGGGCTGAAGGGGAAGAGCTTACAGTATGTCCCCACATGAGGACAACCAGGTCCAGGGGCCAATCAGCCTAAGACATTAAAAGGCTGTGACAGGTTGGACAGCCCAGGGAAGAACAATTGGTGTTGGTTGTGGATCCAAATAAAATTAAATCCGTGACAACTTCAATCTTTTCTCCATTTATCATGATGTTGCCTTTCAGTCCAGTAGTGATCATTTTTATTTTCTTGACATTGAGATGCAATCCATACTGAAGGCTGTATGTAGTTTTTTATCTTCTCCAGCAAGCACTTCAAGTCCTCCTCACTTTCAGCAAGCAAGGCAGTGTCATCTGCATGACACAGGTTGTTGATGTCAAGGCTGGTGGAGGCTGTTGTGTGCCATTCAGTCAGAAGTAATGGGAAAGGTTGAGGTCATTGTGGGAACAAAGTGATGGTTCCTCAAAAGATTAAAAATAGAAAACTCCCATGAGATTCAGCAAACCCTCTTCTAGATATATCCCCAAGAGACTTGAAAGCAAAGACACAAATAGACATTGCAGCACCGGTCAAAATAACAGAAATGTATGAAAACCATAAATGCATATCAGTGAATGAATAAACAAAGTGTCATGCATACACATAATGGAATTACTACTCAACTGGAAAAAGAAAAAAACTCTGACAATGGTATGTACCTATGGATGGAACTTGAAACTTAGTACTGAGTGGAATAAACCAACTCAAAAGGATAAATACTTTATGCTATCATTTGTATAAAAAGACCAAAAACTGCTAATTATCTAGAGGCCAGAGCTTATTAGCAGTTACCAGCGGTGGGAGGAAGGAGGAGCATTACTGAGCACTGAGTTTCTGTTTATGGGGATAGAAAATTCACACTGATTAAGGGTACTGGTTGCACAGTCCATTCCCTTACTGGCAACTAATGTAACTATTGCCAGTAAGTTGTATATCCATTAATAAAAATGAATTAGCAAGTTTGTGATATATAGTTTTAAAAAAAGAAAAGAGTAACTGTTGTTAAAGAGCCATGTAGAGGCTGCTTATATACAGCCAGGGGGTTCTGGTGGAGTTCACAGGGAGGTGTGCTGCTAACCCAAACGCCACACCTCCAGCAGTTCAAATCCACCAATAGCTCTGAAAAGATGAACCATCTCCTCCCACATGACTTAGTCTCAGAAAGGCCAGTTCTGACTCAATAGCAATGGGGAAAAAATGTACAACCAAACACCGCAAGAAATTTGGCTTCTTGTTTTAGAGGCTTAAGGTCTTCATTTCATGGTGCATGTCAGATACTAGTGAAATAGGAGAGGGCACAGGATAGGGCAAGGTTCAGCTCTGTTGTCCTAGAGTCACTGTTATAGTGGACTTGGTGGGACCTAACAAACAACAAGTCAGAAAGTTGGCCTAATATTTGTTTTAGTGCTTTTCTGTTTGCTGCACCGTGAGGTCTTCAAAGCTTGCATGTGGCTGGTTATCCATTTACCTGGAGCATCAGAGGGACAGGAAGAATCAGAAACAGGAGGAAAAAATGAAATGTGTTCTAGTTTCTTCCTTGAGGCCTTTGCCATATGATCAAAGCTGCATAGTGCCTGGCTTCTGTTATTGATCAATTTGATTAAAGATTCTATAGAAGAATTCCAATCAAATGGGGAGAAATGTGGAACAGAATTGCAAATTCTCAAAGAATGCAGTCTTTCTAGAGTTATCAAGGCTAGATTAACCCCTGAAAATTTTGCACGTTCATAATACTTTTTTATTTTTATTGAGTGAAGTTTCTTATTGTTGATAGTATATCCAGCAAAATGTACACTAACTCATCTGTTTCTACAATTCACTGACATTGATTATATTCTTTGAGATGTGCAACCAATCTTGTTTTCTTTTTCTAAGTTGTTGATCCCTCATCAACACACACTCATTTTCCTCTGGGATTCCTGTCTAATCTTTCCAGTTCCTGTTATCACTTTGGTTTCATATCCCATAAAACTCAGACTCACTACTATGGAATCATTTAGGACTTATGGTGACCATCCACCAGGTTGCTGAGGCTGTAATTTGCGTGAGAGGAGACTTCCCATCTTTCTCTTTTGGAATCACTGGTGAATTTGAAGCTCAGAAATGTGCAATTTTTGGCTGAGTAGCCCAACTCACTATGGGCTATGTCATTGAGCTCATATAGTCAGATTTTAAAAGAGCACCTTGCTCAATGAAGATTTTTTTAACTACTTGAGCAAGACTATTCTTTTATTTTAAAGAAGATCATAACAGTTCTTTTTGGCTTAAGGCTTGTAGTTTATCCCAAGGCATTACTTTCAGGTCTGTTTGCTCTTTTCACAATCCATGAGCTAGTCTATGCTCTTCTCCAGCACCACAGATCAAAGGCATCAATTCTTCTCCTGTCATCCTTATTCAGTGTTCTGCTCTCAGATGTCTCACCAATGAAGCAAAGAGGAGGAAGGAAAGCCAGTAAGAGGAGGAGGATATGAAATGTGTGGCTAATTATTGCAATGAGTAACTGCCTCCTTTACAATAAAACTAGCAAAACAGGATGATTCCTGGCAAAATTCATGTTTTGATCAAAGACTCCTTAGAAGAACCAGATCAAAAAGTGAAAAATGAAGGTCTGAATTTCAAATTCTCAAGGAATCTAGGCTTCCTAGAGCCATGTAGCAGATATATGGTCTTGCAAATCTGCATGGTCTTGCAAATCATCAACAGCTGTGGGACTATTGTTGTTGTTGTTGTTCTGTGCTGTTGAGTTGCTTGCGACTCATAGTGACCCTATGTACAACAGCCCTAAACCCTGCTCTACCCTGTGCAAATCGCACTGTCTCTGACACAACTATACCGATTACCCCAGTCACTGAATCAATCCACCTCATAGAGGGTCTCCCCTTCTTGTGCCATTCTTCCACCCTCCCAAGCATGATGTCCCTCTCCAAGGACCTGTCCCTCCTTAAAATATGTCCAAAGTATGTCAAACGAAGCCCCAGAATCCTTGCCTCCAAGGAGCAGACTGGTTTAACCATCTCCAGGATGAAACTGTTTGATTTCCTAGCAGTCCATGTCCACTCTCAATACTCTTCTCCAGCACCACAGCTCAAAGGCATCAATTCTCCTTCTATCCTTCCTAGTCATTGTCCAACTCTCTGATGCATAACAAGTGATTACAAAGACCATAGCCTGTATCAGGTGCACCTTAGGCTCCAGAGAGACACCACTGCTCTTCAGTACCCTGGAGAGGTCCCTAACAGCAGGCTTTCCCATCGCAATACGTTTTTTGCTTTCCTGGCTGCTGGTGCCAAGAGTGTTGACCATGGAGCCAAGCAAACTGAAGCTGTGACAAGCATTTCAGGTCCGCCTCAGTTTCAGCAAGCAGGGTTGTGTCATCTGCATAATGCAGATTATTAATAGATCTTCCACCAATCCTGACACCACATTTCTGTTCATAGAGCCCAGCCTCTCGGATAATCTGTTCTGCATACAGGCTGAAAAGATATGGAGACAGGACACATCCCTGGCATACACCTTTCCCAATTTTGAACCATGTAGTGTTTCACTGCTCTGTTCTGACGACTGCCTCTTGGTCCAAGTATGTTTCGTATTAGAAAAATCAAGTGTTCTGGGATTCCCATTCTTCTCAGAGTCAGCCACAGTCTGTTATGATCCACACAGTCAAATGCCTTTGCATATCAACGAAACACAGATAGACATTCCTCTGGTATTCCCTGCTTTCAGCTAAGATCCATCTAACATCAGCTACAATATCCCTAGTACCACAACCCCTTCTAAACCCATCCTGGACTTCTGGCAGTCCTCTGCTGATGTGCTGTTCCAGTCGTTTTTTGATAATCTTCAGTAGAATATTGCTTGTATGTGAAATCAATTATATTGTTAGAATAAGAGAAAAAGTGCTTCCCACACAGAAAGACTTGAGGCAAGCAAGGATTGTGGTGGCAAGACCCTGATGAGAGCAAGACTCTGGTAGTGAAGAGACTGTGGCATTGCTGTGGAGAAACTGGCAAGGTGTGACCTGAGGCTTCTCACTTTTGTGCTGGCCACAGTTAAAGGTTTGATTGTTGTTGCCAATGTTTGAAGGAAAAGCTGACTTATAACTGCTCTCAAGCAAATCTGGCTGTGGATGATTTGGATTTGACTGTTCAACTGAAAACAGAGCCTGGACTAATTGAAGAATCATGCTTTGCAACTGCTGGGATAAACCCTGGACTTGTTTTGGGGTTATTCTTTGCCGCTCTCACTCTCCAACTTCCTTTCCTAATAAAACTCTTCTCAGTAGTATAACTGTGAGTTAACAACAAATAAAAAAACCTCATGCTGTTGGTGTGGCTCTAAAGATATCATGAGGCTGGGCTATGAGCTCTTTATCTGGTTTCTGTTCTGGGGTGGTGAAGGACAGTGCTAGTCTAACTTCCTCTGGCCCTTTCAGAGAGAAACTCAAGACCGTGTGCCCCCTTGTCCCATTTCCCCCTCTTTAGACAGAAGCACATGGTCTAGTCAGGTCAGGATCATATCTAGATTGCCAGTCAGGAGTCCAGAATGTCTAATTTCTTCTGATCTCATAGACCTAGGTCAGCTCCCCTGGAATCACATGCTTGGTAGCAGGCAACCTGGAACAGATGACAGGTGTATAGATGAAGAGCTGGCAGAGGCAGAATGCTGCCAGGAGAAGGCAATGCACATGACAGGTTTGCACGTGCATACAGTGGGCTTGCATCTCACAGCACACAACAGGTCATGCTGCCAGAGATTTGACACACAGCAGGCTAGGCCACAAGAGAAGGCTTGGACAAGGCCGTGGAGCCATACAGGAACTGGCAACAATAGCAGCAGTAACTGGAACCCTGCAGGTAGCCCAAAGACCAGCAGATATAGAACAGGGCATACGTGTCTTGGGTGCAGTAAGTGTGTGTGGGGTAACACACAGGAGCAAGCCTAAAGGCTCTTTCCCATGGGCCTTTATATACAGGTCTCACAAAATCCTGGTAATATATCCATGCTATGGTCTTCCCTAATAACTTGTTTCTCTACATTTCCCCAAGCTCACCTGCCCTCCTCTGCTGTTTTCCTAGGATACACGAGTTCTCAAGGCCTCATATGAAACCAAGTCCCCCATCTCAGCTCTGGTCCAGAACCCCTTCTCCACCTACAGTCTTCCACGTATGGAGCAGCAGACACTTCATGCTTCACTTAGCTCAAACACCGAGACCATCTCACTGAACTTGTCCTTTCTTTGCTTTCTTCCACCCATCCACTACTTCTCCAGCCCCAAGAGCTGCCTTACAGCCCCTTCTCAACTACCCCATGAGATCTCTGCTGCCAAGTCCCCTACTAGTGATCCCTCAGGTGGCCTAGTGGCAAGAAGCTGTGCTACGATCCCAAAGGTGCATGGTTTGAGGCCACCACCAGCTGCTCCGCTGGAGAAGGATGGGCAATCTCCTCCTGTGCGATTAACTGCCTCTGAAAACCTGTCAGAGGCTCTGCTATGAGTCAGTTCTGACTCGACAGTAAACAACAACAGAAGCCATTCAGGCCCAAGCATCCTGGATACCCTCCTTAGATTCTAACTTATCACCCTAACTCACTAACAGCTTCCAGCTTTCCACCCTCTTCTGTCTAATTTCTGCAGAGTAAACAAGGGGCTGGATGAAAACCTGGATGAGATGACTCCTGACTCAGACCTCCATTTTCAAAGGATGGGGATGTTGGTCTTCAGTGCGGTCTTCAAGGCCCATCAGTCTGATGGGTCCACCTGCATCTTTCACTGTAAGATCCTCACTGCTCCAAAACGTACCAGTCCCCAGGTTGTGTCCTGCACCTATAGCTGTCTCTGCCTGGGATACCTTCCCCCATGGCTCTCCCACAGCCTCCCCCAGGTACCAGCTCAGCACTCTCCTCTAACAGGGATCCACCCACCAAACAGCCGACCACTCTACCTGCTCAGCCTGCTTTCCCTGAGCCCTTTAGAATAACCTCACTTGTTAATCATGTATTTCTTCACGCCAATGTCTCTTCCACATCCACCCTGGAGAACCAGGAGCAGGCACCTAGTTCATTCCCTGCTCCATCACTAGCACACTGGCCAATGTTGTTGCTGTTGTTATTAGGTGCCATCAATCCAACAGCTCATAGTGACTCTATGAACAACAGATCTGAACCTGGTCCTATCCTGTGCCATTGTCATGATCTCAGACCTGCCTCAAGAGCATTGTTATGGTCACTGTGTCAACCCAACTGGTTAAGGGTATATTTGTTGCATGAATAAGTAAATCCTTCCATAGATCATTATACAGTGAGAGTCAGGAAACTTTCTGAAATAATCGGCAGATATAAATGGACTTTGCAAGTCTCACAGTCATTGTTTCAGCTACTCAACTCTGCCTTGGAGCGTAAAAGAAGTCATAGATAATGCATACACTAGTGGGAGTTGCTGCACTCCAAAAGAGCTGTATTTACATTATGGAAAACAGGATGGAGGTGTCTTCAGAAAGTTAAACAGAATCACAAGATGACTCAGCGACTTCTATTCTAGTTACACAGCCAAAAGACTTGAAAGTGGAAACACAAGCAAATACTGGTAGCCGAGTGCTCAGTGAGTAGAGCTCTGGTGACCTAATGAGTCAGGAACTGTGCTGCCAACCAAAAGGCAGGTGGTTCCAATCCACAGGCCACTCTTCAGGAGAAAGATGAGCAATCTCCTGTGTGATTTAGAGCCTCTGAAAGACCACTAGAGTTCCCACTATAAGTTAGCCCCAACTTAACAGTAATGAATTGTTTAATTCATTGTAGCCCTATGCACAATAGCCAAAAGGTAGATAAACACAACATAGTCTATACATATAATGAGATATTACTCAGCCATAAAGAGAAATGATCTTATAAATAGAAAAAAAGAAATAATGTTATGATGCATTGATGCATACCACAACATGGATGAGCCCCCAAAATTAGGCTGAATGAAATACGCCAGACAGAAAGGGACAAATATTGTGTGATCCCATTTATATTAAATATCTGTTGTTGTTGTTGTTGTTATGTACCTTTGAGTTAGAACCAACACATAGCTGACCCTTCAGCAGGTTCAGAGACAGTAATTGTGCAGAAGAAGATTGCCCATCTTTATTCCACAGAGCAATTGGTGGGTTCAAACCATGTGCCTATGTGAAATGTCTAGAATACGCAAATACATAGAGACAGAAGGTTGCCAGGGAATGAGGGAGAGAGGAATGGAGGATAACTGGCTAACAACAAAAGGGTCTGTTTGGGATCATGGAAGAGTTATGGAAACAAACCATGATACATTGCATGATTAATGTCACTGGATTGTATACTTGAAAATAGGTCAAGTGACAAATTTTATATCATGTATATTTTATTCCAACAACAAAATAACTTTATTTACCAAAACAGATAATCAGTAGATTTGGTCTTCAGGACAGTTTGCAAACTTAAAAAGTATCTACGGTTTAAAGTTGGAAGTTTAAGGTTTCCCTGGACAAAATAAAACTCAAACTTCATCATGACCGCCAAGTCTTAATTAATGGCAGGAGACAAAATAGGGGATAGAAATAATGTTGTGTTTTGGGGTGAGTCAAGGGTGTGTTGTGGACAAATAATGGTCTTGAGGAAATGCCATGGGATCCACACAGTCAGCCAAGAAATCCTGTTCTAGGGAGATGTTGGTCTCAATGCCAGGGTATTGATGGTGCTGTATCATCCAGGAAGACACACCACGAGGGCAACAGGCTGGAGAAAACACATAGAAACCACTACAAGGAAGACAACAGCTGTGCTTCTGTGTTGCCTGGACGCCCACAGGCCCAGGATATAAAGGCCGTCCAGCAGAAGGCGTCTCCACACCAGCCCCGCCCTCCTCCTCCTCCACAGCCGCCTCTACCACACACACATCACCATGTGCCACACCAGCTGCTCCACGGGCTGCCAGTCAGTCTGCCTCAGGCCCCTGTGCTGCAAACCCCTGAGCTGTGCTCCCTCCACCTGCTGCTCGTCCCCCTGCTGCGGGAGCTCCTGCTGCCGCCCAGTGACCTGTGTGACTCTGCTGTACCGGCCTGTGTGCGGAGTGGTCACCTCCTGCCAGTCACCCTGTGGGGTCTCCAGCTGCTGCTCCAGTGGCTGCCAGTCCCCGTGCAGTCTTGTGTCCTGTGGTCAGGCCTCCTCCTGCAGCCCAGCCTGTTGTGTGCCTGTGAGCTGCAAGCCCACCGTGTGCGTGGCCCCCTCCTGCCAGTCCTCCCTCTGCTGCCAGCCCTCCCGCCCCACCCTCATCTGCAGACCCGTCTCCTGTAGCACTCCTGCCTGCAACTGAACCCTTGTCTCCAAAGAAGCCATTCCCTGTGTGGAAGCACTTCACCTGCTTCTCTTGCTGAAGTGAGTCTGTCGTTGTTCTCCAAGTTCTCCACTTGAAGCAGATGAAAGAATGTCTTTTCCATCAACTAGTCCTCAGGTGTGGCAGAATGCTCGGGATCCCTCTCCAACCCTCTTGTCCTCTCAGGGAAGTCCTGCCTCCCAGGCACTCTACTCTGACTCCAGCAGGAAACTAAATCCCCAATTTAACTAAATAAATCATTCCTTCCCCATACAACCTGTCTTTTTTCTTTTATTTTTCCCATGTTTGATGTTCTGCCCTTGAAGGTACCTACAAATCTTTCCCAGAGACACCTCTTCCAAGCCTGATGCTCCTTAGAGGCAAGGATGGTGAACCTTGGTCTCACGTACTTTGGGCATGTTGTTAGGAGAGCTCAGTCCTTGGGTAGAGACATCATGTTTGGAGGGAGGGAGGGTCAGTGGAAGATAGGAAGAGCCTCAACATGATAGACTGTCACAATGACTACAGCAAGGGACTAAAAGATATCAGAGATTATGAAGATGACACAGGATAGGACAAGATTTAGATCCATTGTTCATACAGTTGCTGTGCGTTGTAGTCAGCTCAACGACACCTAACAACAAGAGCAACAATGGCTCAGCAGAAAGCAGGGAAAGAAAATGTGGGGGAGAGGCCTGAAGATGCCTCCTCCACACTCTTCTTTGAGATAAACATTGTAGCTAAACAAGGGTAGAAGGAGAAAACCCTCCACACCTGAGAGAGGGTTGAGATAAAAGACAGAACCCTGAATCCAGCCTAATACCTGAAAGGATCTCTACAGCAACAGCCGAGAGGAGGGGACTTCTCTCTCCCACGAGACCTACCACTAATACAACGCAGAGTTTTGTTGTCTGGTGAAGAGGTGCACAAGTCTGAGAATGTCTCATTCCTGCATTCAAGTCACACAAGTCCTGCCTCAGCCTGATCTGTTACTGTTACATACTGTCAAGTCTGAATTGATTTATAGTTGACCCTCCAGCATGTCTTCACAGGCCCACTGTGAAACCCTGTGAAACACGGGAGAAAATTGTCTTATCCTACAGAGCTGCTGGTAGATTAGAACCACCCAACTTTGGGTTGGCAGTACAACTTCTTACCACTAACTAAACCAACCTGGTTCTTCAACACAGGCCTAGCATTATTGTTGTTCTTTTTAACTATCACTGAGTCAGTTGCGACTCATATCAACCCTATGCACAACAGCTCTAAACCCTGCTCTATCCTGTGCCAACCTCATTTTCTCTGACACCCCCATCCCCATTACCCCAGTCACTGAATCATTCCACTCATCGAGAATCTTCCTCTCTTGTGCTGTCTCTCTACCCTCTCAAGCATTATGTTCCTCTCCAAGGATTGCACCATGCCCAAAGTGTGTCAGACAAAGCTTCAGAATCCTTGCCTCCAAGGAACAGCCTGGTTTCACCCTCTCCAGCATGAATTTACTTGTTTTCCTAGCAGTCTGTGGAATATATTCAATACTCTTTTCTAGCACCACAGCTTAGCAAACAGTTTAGTAAGTAACATCTGTCAACCATTAAGAAAAATGTAAATTTTTTGACAGAGACCTCTTCTATGTGGCAAGCATACAGGGACAGCTGAAAACCTAGGCTGAAGGCCAAAGACTGGGTTTCCCAGCTCCTAACCTAAGCCAATGGCAGTCCACAGCCAGAGAAAGTCTACAGTTTGGGTGTACTGAAGGGAGCCACAGCAGTAACAAACTCCAAATCCAAACACCTTCCACTGAGCTCATTGGTAGATTTAACACAGCTAATGAAAAAATTAGTGAATTTGAAAGTAAGTAACGGGAAGTTGTTTAAATGAAAATGCAAAGAGGAAAGTATTAGGTGGGGGTAGAAGGTGGCACAGTGGGTGGAGCATCACAGAGTTCTGAGACAAAAGTGAATTATCATTAATGCATGTAACTTGAGTCCTAGAAGTTTGCAATAGTAAATTACTATTCTTTATAGTTGTTGTTGTTGTTGTTAATTGCCTTCGAGTTGAGCACAACTCATAGCGACCCTATGAACAAAAGGCCCGAAGCCCCTCTACAACTATTGGCATTTATCAAAGTTTGTAAAGTTTCAGAGGCATGTTGTTTAGGAAGTGGATGCCACTCCTGCTTCCAATATTCTTTATAGTTGTAAATTGTTATTGTGTTTGTTGTGTTGTTGATTGTCATCGAGTTGAGCATTATTCATAGTGGCCCTAAGAACAAAAGACCTGAGGCCTTTCAATAATTGTTTCTCAAAGTTCGTAGAGTTTCCAGAGGTATGTTGTTTAGGAAGTGGATGCCACTCCTGCTTCCAAAAATTGTTATTACACTAGTAAATTATCATTAATGCATATAATTTGAGTCACATAAAGAAAATGGGGCAGAAGAAATAATTGAAGAATAAATATATGCATTTTTTTTCTAAAAAGAAGACATGAAACAGAGGTCATAAAAGCTCAGAAAACCCCAAACAAGTTAAATATCCCCTTACATGCTGCTCACACACACACACCATGAACTAGATACATTATACTGGAACTGCTAGAAATTCAAGCTAAAGAGAAAATCTTCAAAGCAGTGAAAGATGTTTAAAAAGACATAACTAGACAGATAAGGACAAAGAAATTAGAAATTGTCATTAGAAATAAAGCCATTCAAGGGAGCTCTGGTGGCTCAGTGGCAAGAAGCTGTCCTGTAATCCTGAAGGCGCGTGATCTAAATCCACAAGGATGCTCCTCCTGTGTCAGTTGGATCTGATTCAATGGAACACACACACAGATACGAGAGAGAGAGAAGGTATTCACAATGAATAAATCATTGGGGGGGAATAAAACAATTCAAAAGGAAATAGTGACGTCTTAAAGGTAAATCCATCAAACCTGTGAAACTGAAAGTGTCTTTGAAAATTACTCAATAAACAACTCTTTTGATAAATAAGAACTGAGATCTTCATTATCAGCAATTATGCACTATAGGAAATGTTAAAGAAATCTGTCAAAAAATGCAGAATGAAAAAAAAAAATGCAGAATGATACAGAGGAAAAACCTGGATCTACACATGAAAAAGAAGAGCTCCAGAAAAGTTTTTCAAAAGAAGACCAAGGTAAAATACAATTAAAGATAACATGTTGTCTATAGCAATTATTTGGCTGTGTGAATCCTAACAAGATATGGCTAGCAATGAGAAGAACAGGAATCCCAGAGCACTTAATTGTGTTCATGCAAAACCTAGACCTAGACTAAGAGGCTGTTGTGCCAGTAAACCAAGTAAACCAAGGGAACACTATATGATTTTAAATTAAGAAAGGCGTTAAAGTGCAACAACAAATTACTGGAAACCCTAAGTCTCTCATTAAATTAATAAAAAAGAAGAAAGGTGTGCATCAGCATTGTATTATCTCTCCATGCCTATTCAATCTGAATGCTGAGAAAATTATTCTAGAAGTTGGACATTATGAAGAAGAATGTGCCATAAAGATTGGAGGGAGAGTCATGAATAACCTGCGTTATGCAGATGACATGACCTTGCTTGCTGAAAGCGAGGAAGACTTGAAGCACTTATTACAGAAGATCAAAAACTATAGCCTTCAATAGTCTAAAAGTATTATATTTTAGGGCATTATTTTTATCGTAGGAGTACGCAATGAGGGTTGCAGAGTGGATTATATTTGGGGGTAGGGGGTGGG